GTGACCAGATTTTGCGACCAGTAGATCTGAGGGTCGTGCGTCTGCAGCCAAGGCAAGCCCAAGACCACGGGGAGATGCAGGCCCGAAGTCATGTAGAATTGGATGGCCTCCTCGTGCTCCCCAAGGATCAAAAGCAAAGGTTGCGTGGCATCCTTGATAGGCCCAGACAAAAGCAACCGTCCATCAATAGTCTCGACCGGCATTGGTGGGTCCACCAGACACAGAGGGACGTTGTAGGCTGTAGCAAACACCGCATCCATAAAGTTCGTGGTAGCCCCAGAATTGACCAAGGCGTGAACCGGAATTCCCTGCTGACTACCCGACAAGAGGATGTGTCCTGCTAAAACCAGGTGCCGTGGCAGTCCGTCCACCTCAGCTTTGGCCTGCGCCCGAACTAAAGTTTCCCTTAGATTGGGCCCCGCCTGTTTCCCGACACGTTGGTTCATCGCTGAGGGAAGGCCGCAGGCCACGCAGCCCTCCTACTCTTCTTTGGGCAACTCACAGCCAGGTGTCCAGGATCCCCACAGTAAAAACACAACCCCTCAGCACGTCATCTGTCCATCTCCGTGCTTGACACTCGGTGTCAGCATCGACTTCATTTAGTAATCAAGAAAGAAACCACTCAACTCCATTTGAATTGAAATCAAGTGTACTTTTACTAATTATAAACGAACAGTTGGAAAGCTAAGCTGAATCTGGTTAATTAGGCGCGAAAGNCACACACACTCACACACACACACAGAGGTTGGATTGGATATTTCTCTCCCTCCCTTCTTGCTCTAGGCTGGCTTAGAAAATCTCTAAGGCCTGGAATGCTGTGGACGTCCCCCTTTGCCTGACTTCCCTTCTCCATGGTCTCCGTGGTGCTCTTTGTAGAAAAATAACATCTTATGACACTACAACTACTGTTAGATAAATGGAAATTTAGAATTCACCACCCTGTCTCACATAAGACATATATCCAGACATCTAATTTCCATTTTGCTTTCTCCTGACCAGAAGGCTTTAATAGTCCTACCACTAATCACAATGGAGAGGTGGGGATATTTAAAAATAGGAGAAGTGATTCTTGACAGCTACCCTATCAAGCTCTTCACATCAAGGAATAAACAACAAAGCCAGAATTACACAGTCTTCTATAAACTCATTTTAATACCAGAACTTGAGGTAAGACTCAGAATCTTAACAATGGCAATAGGAATTTTCAGCCCTAATTTATAACTTATGACTTATGCTTCTTCTGCTTGAGCTTTTGGAATGAACACATTCTCTCTTAATTGTTTATATTTACTTTTCTCTGTAATTTTTCTTAGGTGGTGTATGCTTGGATGCAGTACAGAATGTAGTGTGTTGAATTTTTAAAAGTTAGTTGCCACTTTGATTCCTCTTGTATGTACTTCTATGTCATTCTCAAAATATAACCACCAAATCTCACATATTTTGATTCTCCAATAATGTAAAATGTATTGTGAATATAATGCATGAATCTTCTCAGAATTATCCTTCTTAGATATTTCATTTGCAAGATTTCTACAAAGGTCAATGTTTTATAATTAGTTTACAAATAAATTATATTGAAACCCTTCTATGGTGCTTTTTAATAAAATATGAATTCATGAAATTCAAAGCTCAGCAATTGAAAGCACTTTTATAATGTTAATTTTCACAGCTGAATTAAATCAACTTGTAAATTATTTTGTCATAAATTAAACACGAAATATATTCTCCTAACATGACCTGTCTGTACATCTAATTTTCATTACTTCTTGATATTAGAAGGACAAAAGAAAATTTGAATTCTTGAATGCCTTTAAAAGAAATATTTTCTTTTTAAAAAGGTACATTATCCTTTTAATTGTAAATCCTATTTCATTATACACTGATTGCTAACTATGAGCTGTGAACCAGCTGCAATTGTTTATTAAAGCCATGAGTAGTTCTGTTCTGTATTGATTTATTTATACATCAATCTCACTGATATTTGCATCCTAAAAATCAGTACAAAAGATATTTTAATACTATGAATGTATAAATAGAATTTAATATATTTATGTAAAATATGCATTCTAATTATTTTTCCAGCAATGCATCAACACCAGGCAGTCCCTGGAAACCTAGCAATAACTTTAGAGCAGGGGTATCAAACTTGCAGCATCATATTGTTGTCACATGATGTATCACGACTTCTCCCCCTTTACTAAAATGGGGGTGGGCGTGGTCCACGGGCTGCAAGTTTGACACTGCTGCTCTAGAGAAACCCTATATCAATCCCCTAATAAACCACAAAAATAAAAATAAAAACCTTAAGAATAAAATGGCATTTGTGGACTAAAAAATATCACTAAAGTATCGCATATTATGAAAAGTATCGGGATATTTTAAGTATCAAATAGTGTATGATATAATTTGGAAAACCAAGAAGTTGAAAAAACAAATTCTTCAACTAAACAATGCAGGGAATTTATTTCATTCTGAAATGCAGACCAAATGAATCCTGTAACTATGACTTTATTGCCTGCTTATGTACTGTAATTCAGAACTCAAGACTCTCTGGCTCAAATATTATCCTTATGTTCTTTTCATTGTGGGAGGAGAGATTATGATTGCCTGTCATATTCACTTAGAGAAGAAATATTAGGGCTGTTTAAAATTCAGTGCAGGTAATATAGATAGTATCAATGAATTATTCAGAGTTCTAGGAACTAATTCCTAAATTATCTATGTAATAATAGGCACACACTTACATAAACACAAACTCATGTACATAAACATAAATTTTTAATTACATAGTGCTTACTCAAACTTTTCCTAAGATGGGTCAGGCTTAGAAAGAGGTATAGGTCAGTCAAAGAACTTCTATTACTAAGGATGGACTAGAATCTTGATTTCCCAGTTATCAGTAAATACCTTAACCACCTTACCACATTGTCTTTATGATATATAACAATCTGTGTCCAATAAACCACAAAATAACAGATATTGCATCATCTGTCTTTTGCCAGCGGTCTACCATCTGATCATGCTGACTCTTAACCTATCAACTGGTTACAATGTGAAAGATACATCTAGTTGATACGTTGGGAGATGATCATGATTTCCCCCATTCATGATGTCTGATCAGGGGGGAATAAAGCATTTTCACCAGGTTTTAATATTTCTTTTTCATTTCTTAGATGAAAGCATGTGGAATAGTAGAAGAATTCCATCAAATGTTTGTCACTGTTGAACTCTCGTTTTATTAGATTGCTTGAGAAATGGGGCCATTAGTGATTATAAAGAAACCAGGGAAAGAAAATTCCTATTGTATAAACAAGTATAGATTGCTGTAACTGAGTACAGATTCTAAGCCTTACAATCAGTGGTGGGTTGCAGGCAGTANTTTTCGCTTTAATTTTACATTTACTGCTCACAGCGCGATGTTTTCATCGCGCTGTGATGACGTCACGTACGCACTTTTGTCGAGCGCGCTTTTGTCGACCGCGGTTTTGTGGTGGAACCAAAATAACATACTCCTATTATTGTAGGAGGAAGTGATATTCTGAACTTAAAAATTAACTCTATTGCACTGGAACATTAAAAACTGGCAGACTCCTGACCAATTTGGAAAATAAGATTTTTTTCCTGGAATGAAAAGACTGCAATGTCTGTATCAGAGGAGAAGTTAGGGCAGTAACCTTTCATTTCTCTGGAGTCTAAATTGTATTGGAATATATCACATAATAAAAAAGAAACATTGTAAATTCAATTCTCTATTGGATGATTAATAACCTGTCCAGGAATATTGCCAAGAATTGAAATCTTGTTCCTGCTATGGATTTATGCCGAATATTCTTTTGTTTCATTGAGTTATTAAGTGTATTTCTTAGTTCTCCTTCAAGTTAGCAGTCTTTCGAAGCCATCTTAGAAAATACAACATACAATTCAATCTCAACATCATAAATCAATCCAAAATTATTTTACAAATAAAGCGGTTAAAATAAGTCAGATCCAGTATTTAAGCAGAAATATATACATTGTTCAGGAATTCTTGACCTCTTTGTTTACACATTGTCATCTACTTACTCATTTTTTTTTTTAAATTTGAATTTGTATTTAAATCCATATGCACAATTGAAAAGCAGCTGGGATTGTTTCCCTGTATTTTTAATTCTGTTTAGTGGTTTAGTAATCCTGCTACTATTATCGGGGTTAGAATTAGAGTTGCCAGGTTACGCTGACCATTTTCCTTGTGTGAAAATAACCTCATTCTTCACTTCTGCTGTCTCACTGAAATCAATAACCTGAGAACAAGATCTCAGAAATTGTCAAATACTGCAACAGTTCTTTGTTTCTCTGTGTGCAACATATGTCCAGCTTTTATTTCCATACCGTATCAGAGGAAAAACAATTGCATGAGTCTCATCTCTGCAGATAGAAACATATTCCAGCATCTGAATATCTTTCCCAAAGCTTTGATTGCTCCTCTCTCAAATGCTGGTCTGGGATAATTGTTTCCTTTTTTGTTGATAGTTAATTCTGAAAAACAAAAGATAGCCACCACTTCAACACCTTCTTTGCCCATTCTAAAGCAGTTTGCTACACCTCCTGTCCAGAAGTGTGTTGCTAATTTTTTTACTACTAGTTTGGGCACACACACGCGCGTGACACTTCTGCACATGCGACAGAAGCGTCCGGGCGGGTGGGCGGAACCTCCCACCACTGCTGCTACTGATTTGCTCAATCCGGGCTGAACTGGCAGCAACCCACCTCTGCTCCTGGAGGTGAAGATTGAATATAAAGAAGATCATGGATTTGATCTTCCTTATAGTCAAAGTTATNTTTTTAATTTTATTTGTCACGCTGCTGATGACGTCACGTACGCGCTTTGATCGGGTGCGCTTTAGTGGACCGCGGTTTTGACGGGTCACGCGCCCACAGAACCGGTAGTAAAAGCATTTGAATTTCCCAACTGCTCTGAGCCCCCCCTGGGCATTTCTCCCCCTCTGTTTCTCCCCATCTAGCAAGCAGCGCCACAACAAGCTCTGGAAACAGCAGGCGGGGGGCGGCTTCCCCCCCACTTCGGAGAGCTCCGCCGGGCCCAATGATTTCCTGCTTGGCAGCCTGGAGGATGCGGACCTGGGGCCTCCCGGCCCGCCTCTCTGCACAGACCGCCGGATGCCCCTGGAGTTGGTGGGCCTCCACTACTGCCTGCGGCGCCTCTCCGACTCCTTGCCAGGCCCCCGGGTGGGGGACCTGGAGGCAGAGTCCAGTCTGGAGGAGAACCTGCTGGGGCAGCTGCAGGCAGGAGAGCCGGAAGTCGAGGGGCAGGCCGAGCCGCCCAGCACTGCAGACACTGAGAGCCCCCCAAAGCCCGAGGCCGGCCAGCCGAGGGAGGAGGAGAAGCCGCCTGAGCGATGGAAGCGGCGGTCGCTGGACGGGGAGGGCCGGCACAACTGCGAGAACCTGAATAACAACAACAGTAAGAGGAGCTGCCCGGATGACTTTGAAGTAAGGGCAGGAACTGAGGCCGGGCGGGTCTGCTTTGGGACCATTGGGGGGCTTCACGGGGCCCCAGGGTTTGGTCCCCCTCTCAACCACCAAGACGTATTTTGGGTTCCTCCTTGTCCAGAGGGCCCACCCCTCCTGGCTGGGTAACCGTGTGGCCTCCTCTGGAGCTCTTTGAGAAGGTCCTTCTCCTCCCTTCCCTCCTCTCTTTTCTCCTTTCCAGCGTGACACCCTGTTTGGGATCCTCCACAAAGTCAAGCCCCACTACAAGTCTTGCACCGACTGCCTGTATCCCTTGGGTGGCTCCCCTCCCGAAGCCTTCAGGGACTCCCCGGAGCTCCTGCCAGCCGAGGCCCCTTGCCACCCTGCCACCGTCTGCACCCAGCCCTCCTTCCCAGCCTTTCTGGAGCAGGCCCTCCGCAAGGCGCCTCTGGAGGAATCCCAGGGACCGAAAGCCGACAGTTCGCTCCCGATGGTGGTGGGGATGAACGCGGCGGCGGCCCAGGACGTCGGTCCCAGTCAGTCGGCTCCAGGCTGGCCCTGCGGCCCTTCTGAAAAGCCCAGGGAGGCCCCTAAAAGCCCCGCGGCTGCCTCGCTGGACTCCAGGCGTTCTCTCTGTGAGAGAAGCCCCCTCTTCAAGCAAGATCCTTTTCCACGAAAAGATGCTCGGCAGACCAAGGACCTGAAATATTTGCTCTTCAGCAAAGATCTGGAGAGGCCAACCACAAACAGCTACCTGATGCAACACCAGGAGTCTCTTCTTCAGCTCCAGAAAGCGGGCTTAGTCCGCAAGCACACCAAGGAGTTGGAGCGCCTCAAGGCCCTGCCACCCGACCCAGCCGGGCAGGGCAAGGAGTCTCCTGGAGGCCCCGCCGACGTCGTGACCATATTGGAAGAGGATCCCCAGGAGGAGATGGTGGTGGTTGAGGGCCAACTGCATCCCTCCTCTCAAGATGTCTCCGAGAAGCTCCTGAAGACCCTTCTTGCTTCCGGAGCCTCCCAGAAGACCTCCACGCCCGCCCCCTCCAAGGTGGACCACGCCAGCACCTTCACAAAGGACTTCCTGAAGACCATCTCCTACACCCCGTCTTCCTCCAGGAGCTCCAACCTTACACGCAGCTCCAGCAGCGACAGCATCCACAGCGTCCACGGGAAGCCCGGGCTGGTGAAACAGCGGACGCAGGAGATCGAAACCCGGCTGCGGCTGGCCGGCTTGACCATCTCCTCTCCGCTGAAGCGCTCCAACTCTCTGGCCAAGCTGGGCAGCCTCGACCTGGCCTCCGAGGACCTGGCGGGAGAGGTGGACCTGTCGCTCTTGGCCCATCCGAGGGAGGCCACGCTGGGCGAGTCTCCCATCCTTTGCAACCTCCTTTCCTGGAAGAAGATGGGGAAAAGCTGACACCCTTGTGGGGCTGTTCTTTTAATGGTTCCTTTTAGTTTCGTCTGTACTCGATGCAATTTTATCCTGTTCCGAAAAGAAGAGAGAGTTGCCTTCCGCTTCTCAGGTGGCCCTTCAAGGACAGGGGCAAGAGAGCAGTGGCACCTGAGAAGGAGACCAGCCCAAAGAGAAGGCTCAGGGCCCTTGTGCCTCCCCCAGGGCCTCTTCTGGACTTCTATTGGGCAGTGCCATCCTTCCTTACATGCCAAAAAAGGTTAAAAGAACCCAGAGATTTTGCTTTGAAGGCAAGTGTTAGACTTCCTCCTTTAAGAGTCCCCCCGTTCAGGGGCCCAAAGGGGACACGAATGCTACCTCCAGTTTTCAGATCTACGTAGATAAATAGATAGGCAGTCACCTCTGCGTGTGTATGTAGTTTAAGATTTTTCAAAACCTCCCCCCGAAACAGATTTTTTTCTAAGGAAAAGAACCGTCCCTGGGTGAATAGGATTATCGCCCTGGTGGTCCCTCAACACACCTGGAATGGCAGAAGAGTTTTTCCAGCAGAAAGCATCTTTTGCTAAGCCATCGCTGGACTGAATCTACCAGCCAGGGGCCCCCCGTCTGAACTGACCAGTGGCTGGCAAAGCTGTTTGTTTTCCCTCCACACTTGATAGTTTTGTTTTTGGGGGGGGGGTGTTGTTGTTGGGTGGGAGCCCCCTGAATCTCCCTCCCTTCTGCTGTACATGTGGGAGATGTTTACTATTTCTCCCGATCAGTTGAAAGCTGTAAATTTCACTGTAGTGTTTACCTAGTGAGGAAGGACCAGTAATGTATGTTTCCTGGGGCATTAAACACTTTTGTTGATAAATCAGAATACGGCATGTTTATTACCTTTAAACCAAAATAGCATAGTTTGAACCTCAGGTGATAGGCCTGTTTTCCTGAATGTCTGTTGTTGTTAGAAGCTGTAGTCAAAAGAAATTGTCCAGAAATGTCAGAGACATTTAACTGCAATGACATAAATAATTTTGTCATCCTTGGGTTCTGAGACACCTGACTGGTGTATAAACTTTCAGGTTCAATTTCTCTCCTTTCCCAGATAATTACCTTTGAAGAATTGATTGCATGGGGCAAAACTTCCCTTAAGTTTCATTCCCCAATGTTTTTTTTTAACCCCTGGAAGATTGTTGTCCTATTTAATGAACAGTGACATCCTATGTACTTTAACTCCACATTATCCTTCAAAACAACACAGAGGTGTTTGAGCCACAAGGAAATATTAGAATATACTTTTTTATTTTCCATTTTCATAACATATAATCACATGTATACTATTACATAGCTTAATAATCCTATTGTATTAAGTAATAATTACATCAGTTCCTCTTCAACTCCCAGAAAGATAAAAGCCAATTATTAACTCTTCTGCTCTCCATACACCTCTTTCTTCTACCTCTCTCCTACCTCCTTCCTTCCCTCCATCATCCTTTCCTACTCTACTCCCCCTTCCTTTCTCCTTCTCCTCTCTCTTCATTCCACTCCTCCTTATCCTCTTCATCTTCCCCCTTACCTTCTCTCCTATCCCTCTCTTTCTATCTTTCTTCTCTCCTCTATTTCCCACTCTTCTACATCCTGTCTTCCCTCCATCATTTTCTACTCTACTTCCCCTTCCTTTCTCCTTCTCCTCTTCATTCCACTCTTCCTTATCCTCCTCATCTTCCCCCTTTCTCTCTCTCCTATCCCTCTCTTCCTATCTTTCTTCTCTCCTCTGCTTCCCACTCTTCCTCTTAATGGTGCGAGAGCCACAAGGAAATATTGAATACCTAGCATGCTAGCTCAGGAATCAGATTCCCCCGTCCCCAAAATTTGAGAACTTTGGTGCATAAAATGGTAGCTTGTGTGTTTTCCCAAACATTGGCGATTTTTTTAATGGATAAGAGTGCCTTGCCTACAGTTTACAAATACTGTATATATCTGTGTGGAAGGTTTATTCTGCTTGATTTCTTGTGTTTGTCAATATAACTCTGTGTCTAGTGGTGTTTTTTTACCCATCCTATGGGTTTGCTCTTATCCTCCGACTCTAGATATTGGACACTACTGCACCCATCAACGCAAGTTGGCTGGGGAATTCTGGGAGTTGAAGTCCACGTCTTAAAGTTGCCAAGGTTGAGAATTATTGCCGTTTATCCAAAGGAAACGTAAGCAGAGACCTCGGCAGCCCAACACATATGAAGGGCGGCAGATTTATGGAAGACTCAATTTTGCTCATGGAGAAGAAGCTGTCAGAAAAGGTTTTGGGGTGTTATTAAAATCAGGTCAAGCAGATTCTCTTCGCACATCGCACAATAGTTGGATTAATTACGCAGCCTCAATTTCCTGCCAGTTGTTTGTAAACAGGCACTAAAAAAGAAAAGAAAATGAAAGGCAGATTCCACAGGGCTGCAGAAAGAGGTGAATTTTGCTGGAGTCTCTTGACGCTGATTTGACAGGTGGGGGACCAAATGCTAAAACCGATTACAGCCAAAGGCTACTTTGATTTAAAAAGAAAGGACAAAATAATTGTTACTGAATGTTAGTCCGGTATTGATTGTGCTCTGAGTCGGGCCCGAGGAAACATAAATTGCATTTAAAGGAGGTTGACCCAACTTGTATTACCTCCATCAGCGGCACAGCCATCCATAAACGCCTCCTTCGTGGTGACTTTTGTAGAACTTGTTGCGTGTATGTTGGACATATCACGGGTTTACCTTGAATTGTGTGGAGCCAGAAATAGCAACTAGCACTCTTCGTATCTGTAAATCACTGGAGTTTTTTTATTTTTAATCCAATAGATTTGACTTTAGAGATAAATCAGCTTTTTCCCCCCATTTTGGAGATGGAGGGAGACACCTCCTCTAGAAATCTCACCAAATTTTGCCTTTAAAGGCCTCCAGTCGGTGTTTGTTTTCTCTTTCCGATGAGTTTCCCAGATTGCTTGGAATTGTTTTCGTGCGGGAGGGAAAGAAACAGTTGGTGTTTATCTTAGCGGAATAACATTGTCCGAGCCAAAGTTTTCCTTGCGCTCCATCCTACCAACAACAAGGAGAATTCTGGGAGTTGAAGCCCGCAACTCTTAAAAGTAGTCAAGTTTTGGAGAGCCATGTTCTACGTCACAGCATGGTCACCCTGGGACCCTGTAGGAGAACTAACAGCCACGAGACCTCCTGGAGCAGTGTTTCTCAACCTTGGCCACTTGAAGATGTCCGGACTTCAACTCCCAGAATTCCCCAGCCAGCATTCGCGTATAAACAATTCAGTGTCTAGGNGCTCAAATGCAGCCCCCTCCTCAAATGGTTACCTCCCTGAAGAGCCCGAACGTCCGTGTCCTGCAGGAACCCCTCTGTTTCTATGTCCGGGGTCCTGGTCATCCGAACTATTTCCTTATTGTCTTTCGGTAGCCGGAGCGGTAAGGCTCGGCAGCCATTCTCATTCTCACGCATGCGCAGATCTCATGCGTGAAGCCATCCCCTCTCCCTACCACCACCATCATCACTACTGCTGGTCCACGGAGCTGGAAAGGTTGAGGACTATTGATATATCATCTCTTAACATGCCCTGCCACTTTTTAAGCTCAATTAAAAGTGTGGTGCAGACAATGTCTTCAAGGAAACATGTCATCCTTTAGTAATTATTGTTATCACTTGAGAGAAGAAAATGAAATCTACTGCTACTACTATCAAATGGTTTCAGAGGTTTTTTTTACTGTTTTATTGTCTTGAGACTCACTCAAGTTTGCAATTACAATACGGGCATCTCAGTGGTGGATTGCAGGAGGTATGCTCTGGTATGGGCATACCAGAACAGCCCAGAGCACCAGATAACGTTCCAGTATGGTGCGCCGGAGGGCCCACCCGCCCGCCTGCACTCCTTACCATGTTTTAAAGCTGTCAGCACTTCCACGCATGCACATGGCACGTACAGCACCTGAGTGACATTTCATTGGAGCACCGCGGACGCTTGCAGAAGTGTCATTTCCAGCTGCAATGCATGCCCGCACCATACACTTGTTCGTGTGTACCACATGCATGCATGTGGGAGACGCCGGGGCCATTCTAACTGGTACAGTTGGAACGGAATCCAGAACTCACTACTGGGGCATCTGAATAAGCTTTATAGTAAATAAATGGTTTTGACACAAGAGATTGTAAGTGATAAAACAAAAGGAAAATGATCTCTTTATACAGATGATAGATGAAATAAAGACACATCACTATTATATTTTAACAACTTATGCCTTTAGAGAAAATTTTATTTACATATTAAAACAAATTAAAATAGACTTTGTCAGCGAAATTTCATTCAGTGTTTTTTTTGCTAAAGTCATATATGTAGATAATGGTACTTTATGTATCCTATAAAGCAGGGGTACCCAACCCCCAAGCTATGGCTTACTACCAGGCCATGGCCTTTTCAGAATTGGGCCATCAGAGTGGTTGGCCAGAACATGCACATGTACAGCTCAACTTGTGCAAGCGACAGGTCAGCAGGCACTTGCACGCATACACGTGAGCCCTCTGCTTCACTTGCTTGCTATCAGCTGTCATAGAAATGGGGAGGGGGCATACTGTTGTGTAAGGGAAATGTATGGTACTGAAGGGAGTTTTGTTCTCACCATCTTCTGTACATGCTGGTGGCTGATGTTTGGACTTGGTCAAGGCCAATCGTCTCACATACCAACATGATGAGGCCTTTTGAAGATGCACCCCACATGGCACCTTAGGAGTTACAGTTAGGAAACTGGGCTGGGGTAACTGGATGGAGGGGGCTGGGCAATCATTTGATATGTACTTGTTCGCACCTTTTTGGCTCAGATCTTTCTTTCCTTTTTCCTGCTTTCAATTCATATCTAGTAAAAGTACTTTATCTCTATTCAAATGGAGCTGAGGTTTTTCTTTCTTGGATATTGTAGGAGGCATGCCTGGCATGCTTTAAAGACATAGCAAAATTTTTGCTGTTCTCTGATCTGTTAGATATACAATCCACGTTATTCCATGGAAAAGCCAGATTACATGTAGATCTCTAAAAGATAATTTTGACTGAAAAAGACAAAAGTCACTTGTTGAGATTCCATGGCTAAGGGGGCCCTTGAATGTGGATCATTTCTGCCTGAATGTGAATCTATTAACCTTGACTGCTACACCACACTGACTCTCAGAAAATATTTGTCAATAAATGTTATGCGCACCAAGGATCATTTTAGCAAATGAAGAGAGCATTCTAAAATAAAGAATATACAAAAAAAAAAAAAAAAACAACAACCTGAAGAGGCTATTTCAGGTACTTTTTTGTATTCAGTGTCCCTATGCAGATGTGGAGATAGCACAATCAACCCCAGCTCTTCAGGTTGAGATGAAGTACCATGCTGCTTCAGTTTGACAGAAAACAGTACTTTTTTCTATTTTTAGTAGAAGTGTCTTTAAATGAATCATTAACATTGGGAACCTGATGAGAACTAAGCCGAAAAGAATACGAAAGTATGCCTAAGGCATGTTTTAAAATTGAACAGATTATTTTCTGTTCCTCATTTATTTAGTGTCTGGCAGTTATGGATGAAGTGATAAAGGAATAGTCATTACATCCTGAAAGGGGAAAGGGGGAAGCAGTCATATAAAACTTTACTTTGTAGCTGAATCTTGCAATTTTTTTTGTTCCATGCTGTGCTATTTCACAGCAAAGGTTCAAGATGAAAAGATAATAGGTCTTATGAAGCATGGAGCATCTTTAGAATACCTTCTCTGCAGCACTAGTTCTTTTTTAATACCATGGCTATTATATTAATGCATATAACTTTTCAGCAGCTGCTGCGTTAAACTCACAGAACTCCTGCCA